AAATATCAAGTAGGGCAAAACTTCAATCAATAATAATCTGATTATCATGTCTCCACTCTGATCACAGCTGCGGTTAGAGGAATTGTGTTTTGGGGTTTTCAAACATAGATGCAGGATGGAAAACCTACATGCACATCTACATTTACAGCTCACTCAGCTTGGCACCCATCAGCACATTCACTCACTCAATCACTCCGCTACTCTGCTGGTAAACTCATAGTCAGCATAAACAGATGGACGACATGACTGCTAGTCCAAACAACGTCTTCGGCCCAAGATGTCTGAGATATTTTGTTTCAGGATGGGGGGAGGAAGTGGAGGGGCATCTTTATTTACAGTCTATGAGCTGTCTGCAGCCTTTTAGTCTGTTTCAGCTCTTTTTTGTTTGATTAACCCTTCAGCACCTGTGTGTAACAGTTTTCAACCGAATAACAGATAAAAAGATACTTTTATCAGGAACCAGTAAAAAAAACCAAATACAAGTGGCCAGAATTAGTTTTCTCCGTAGGTTGGCATGGGCTCAGCCTCATTGAGAGGGTGAGGAGTTCTGACATCCAGAGGGAACTCAGAGTAGAACAGCTGGAGTAGAAATGGTTCGGGCATCTAATCAGGATTCCTCCTGGACGCCTTTGGTTGGAGGTTTATGAGGAGGGCACGCTCTAGGAGAGCCTGGGGTGGTCCCAGAACACGCTCTAGGAGACCACATATCCCATCTTGCCTGGGATGGCCTCAGGATCTTACCCTACCTGGCCAGTTAACTCATCCACCAGAACCTGGGAAAGCAGAATACAATGGTTGGATGAATGGACACTAAGCTATGGTGTGCCATAAAAACAGAATCATTTTGTCCTCAAGTGACCGAAGTCCTTGAAGCAAGACTCGCCACTCTGCAGCCATCTTGGCAATGGATCTGGGGATGTTATTTTGGGCTGACGAGACCAGGCTCCAATCTGAGTGAATGGGGAGAGAGTCGTAACTGCAATGTATCACCAGGAGAGAAAAACTGTTGAATGATAGAATCAGCAATCAAATCTAATTTTAAAAAAGGAGTAAACAGTTTGCCTCAAAATAAATCTTTTTTATTCTTTCTTCTTTGTTTCACTCATACAGTAAAACCCAGAACAATTTTACAAAAAGAAACCTTCTATTAAAAACTCATTGACTTAGCTTGTTAGCTCGGGGCTGCTTAGGGCAATTATGGGACCTTCAAACCTCAACCACCACCAGATCTCCTTCCTTCCCACCATTACAGTCGTCCACTGGGGTACGTTCCTGTGAGATTCAGATGCTATTTAGGGGGAGTAGATCCTGTGGCGGTTTTTCAGACCCCAGAGAAAGATCTTTTCCTCTGTTTATTACCCCGGGAGATAGTGGCTGTTTGTCAGGGCAAACATGTCCCTCTGCATCCAGAGACGGAGAGGGAAAGAAGGAAGGAAGCGGAGGGGCGGCACCGTGAGAAGGAGCCAGTTCGGAGATGTAATTGGTACCTTTCCTTTTTTAGAAAACATTTCTTAGTTTGTGAAGTCCAGCAAATGAGTCAGGGCGCAGCATTGCTTTGTAACCGCATTCAAACACTCTCACGTGGTTTATCATACTTTCCCCTTTGTACTTTTCACTTTGAAGAGGGTTTGAGTTTCTCCTCCATCTTTGATCCTCCATGTGTTCATGTTAGCTACTGGTTAATATGAGTGAACCACTTATCTTGGGAAAAGAGAACAAGCTTTTGTTAGTAAATATGTTATGTTCCACCGCTTTATTTCTATTAAACCATTTGAGCTGGATGCAGATCAAGCAGAGGTGTGTGTGGTCTTTTATTCTCTCTTTCTCCCTCATTCATTCATTCCCATTCATCTGTCTCCTGCCCCTATCGCTCGGCCTGTTGTTTGGTTCAGGTGATAAGTCGGAAAGCTTCTTCAAAGAGCTGGCAGCCGTTTACAAAGGGATGAGAGAGGAGCCCAGAGAAAAGAGGCTGACTCAGGCCATGATAACCATCTCCACTTAAACTGCAGGTGTGAGTGAGAGGGATGGAAGTAAAGACAGGTGGAGCAGCCCGTCTGCTTGCTGCTGAGCTTTTTGTTCTGTAGTCAGTGGTGCTACTCTATGAATTTACGTTTCACTGAAATACAAGATATTTTTTGTTCTCCTCACTTCTTTTTAAAAAAATATGAAGTGAGGAGGTTTTTAAGTCAAAGTGAAACAACAAAATAACTTATTCTTTAATGTGATTGTAATATGGCTCATAAATCAGGTAAAGAAAATATGACTTTACTTTAAGGTAAAGTCAATACTACAACTGCTTCTATAATAGTAATAGTACTAATAGTTATAATTATAATGTATTTAAAAAATATAAAGATGTGTGAAAAGAAGTAAAACATGATACAGATCTGTCTATCTATCTATCTATCTATCTATCTATCTATCTATCTGTGAGTAGAACTGTTGTTTTCTAACTTTTATTATAGCAATGTAAATCAGTTAAGATGTTATTGTAAGAAACTTGAATGAACATGTCTTAATTTAGACAAAACAAACTTAAAATTGAAATAATATGTTTTGAAAAATTACATCACAGTTCTAACTGTGCGTAGGAAATGTGTGTTTGTTGATATATGTTTATTTGTGTGTGTGTGTGTGTGRGTGCGTGRGTGRYTGRYTGTGTGTGTGTGTGTGTGTACACTCAGATTCAGCACCTGGAGCAACAATGGCTCAGAGCAGCTGTGTGTTTGTGGAGCGGAGCTGAGCAGCAGCAGGACACCGGGGTGTGTTATTAAGGTCACAGTCAGCTCCGTCTGAGTCCACAGGAATTACACCAGGCCGCTGTACTGCTCCACTTTTAATGACCAGTTGTGGCAACAGATCAGTGGACATATAATTGCAAATGTCATAGATGTTGTAATAAGACAGAACCCAAAATAGCATTTCAAGGCCGGCGTCGTGGCGAATCAGCTCAAATTCAGCGCAGTCGACTTTCGTCGTGAACTTGTAAAAGGGCCACGAGGAGAAAATGTTTCAGGCGGCGTTACATGAAAAGGGGCCCCTCATTTCTGCAGATGCTCAACGATGAAACACAGCACATGGATGCAATTAAAGGCCCGATTATGTCAGAAGTGAATGACTTATTTGCTCTGATGAAGTGCATCAACACAACAATTTTCTAGTTACTCATGCAGTCCTATAAATGCAGCACGTGGATTGTGTTAGTGGTAAAAGAACACCTGCTTGACCTTGAAATGCTGCAGGCATCCGTCTTCACTCCTTTCTCTTGTGTAACATTCATAACGCAGCACCGTGTATTCAAGTGCCCACCCCCCTTTTTTTTCCCTCTATGGATGGAGGGTTTCTGGGATGTACTTCAATCTGAGGCAGGAGGTGTCAGCAGTTTGTCTCAGTCCCATAAAAAGCCTCGAGGCCTTGAGAGGAAGCAGCTGCTGAGAAATGAACATTGGTTAGAAGGACAGGCCTACTTGAGTTTGACTTCCCTCTGGGACTGTTCCATTAACACCATGATAGATTTATGACCCTCTTGACATTCATTCCCTTTCTTTGGTCATTACAGGGAAAGTAAAGCAGGTGGAAGCACTGGAAATTTCAGAAACTCATTTTAATGATCTTGTCTCCTCCAACAAACCTCATGTTTTGCTTGTTTAGCTTCGGTAATGGTCATGTTTTCTTGGAGAGAAAAAAGCCTTTTAGCATTCCAATTACATCGGCCCTGCCAAGATAACACAGCACACATTGTGCCACGGCATCATTAAACATCAAAAGCTGGCAGCAGATCTGTCTGAATCTTGGTAAGAGGTGAGACAAACTTTAATTATGCTGATCATGTTTCACTTTACTTTGTTTATGTGCTCTTTCTAAACAAGCTCCCTTAGAGTTGGCTTGCAGGGAAACATTCCTGTACTTTCCAAAGGAGGCCTGGGTAACACAACCAGCACTGGAATGAGATAGCACAGATCACTGTCACCTTGTTAGCCGCACAAGCATCCACCACACCGCTCACTCGCACAAAGCTTATGTAAGGCGTTTGACGTTGATGTGCGAACCGTGGCTGTGTGTCAGTGGGTTCAGTGTTTTCATGTGCATGTGTACAGTATGTGTGTTTAATTTTCCATGCAGTCACTGCCCTTAAGTCTGGGACTTACCAACGGGTCTGGACCTGCTCTCCTCATTCCCAAATCGGCCTCATGGGCTGCCAGTAATCCCTTGAGTACTGAGGGAGAGGGGTGGGGCTGGCAGGGTGGGGGTAGAGTGGGTGCATGGAGATAGTAAAAAAAAAAAGAAGAAATGTTGGGATGGTGTGCATCCCTTCAGGTGAAGGCAGAGCCAAGAATGGGGCTGTGCATCCCGGAATTCTGATGTTGGCTTAGCCGTCGGCTTGCTGCTCTTCTTCAGTCAGTCTACAGTCGTCCAGAGTAAACAGGCATCCAGTGGTTGCCCAGAAATAGACCACACACACCTGGCACACGCCAACGCCTTTCCACTGTAGATCTCTCTTTTCTGACGGACATTCATTACTTAATTGCACAACCTGGGTTTATAAGATTTACTGAAAGAAGCGTATGTGTGCTGCAAGCTGAGAGACATGAAGTCTGAGACTGAAAAAGTGTGGGAGGAAAATGGAGGTGTGTGCAGGTGGGGGCCCTGCACATCAGTGCTGAGCTACAGCCTTGAACTACACATTTTCTGAGTTTCAAGTGTACAATGATAAAGAGTTTTCACCTAAACTAACCATCCCCTCAACAAGATGCATCTGTTAATATTTCCGATGCCTAAAACTATCAAGATATCAAGATAAAATCATATTTGTTTCAGTTCTCTCCTCATTTTTTAAAATGTCCTCTCCCCTTTTTGTAATCACAACAAGAACATACAAATGCAAGCATTGACAAGTGTAATACTCACACACTTACACAACACCGCCCTCTGACAAGTAGAAACATCTCATGTGGTTTTATTTTGCCAACTAAAAAAAATCTTCCATTCTGACATGATAATTTAACATTAATGTTTATTTCAAATTTTTTTAAATATTTACAGATACAAATTTCAAATGGTAAGTGCACTATAAAAGAGAGTAAACAGAAAAAATGTGTTGTTTTTTTCTAAAACATATCAGAAACAATTAATTCATTCTTGAGCTGTGCAAAACGCATCACACTTCAGATGAAAGTAAAAACTTGTCCTGAAATAAAAGGCAATAAATTGCCTGCAATTGGTTAACAAAACAGCAAAGTGTGTATCAAGTTTTTTCCTAAAACCAACACCACAACCACATCCCCTGACCCTCACCATCTAAAGACAACACACCCGCTGTCAATCCCGAGAGGGAGAAAAACATGGTGTCATCACTCTCACAACTAGTGATATTACTCATGGCTTTGACAGCCCGAGGACAAGCTGACATTCAATTATGAACACAAACACAGTGACGAAAAAGCATTGCAAAATTCACGTGGGTTGAAAAATAAACAAACAGAGCAGGTAAAACTGATGGACGGTTCCTGTGAAGCGTTCTGTCGGCTGACAGCCTCTCAGTCAGAGGGGGTTTCCCCAGGTCGGACTGTCCCTGCGGTTTCTCGTGTCCTTTATGCCGGAACTCTCTCCAAAAGTACCTGCAGCATTATTGTCCAGGAAAACCCCAACACGCCTGGAATTTAATACCGTTGACTGTGACCTCTTCATGAAGATGATGTGTCAAACAGAAATGTCCCTGACAATCATCAGACTTGTAAAAACAAAAGCTCTCTTCCATCCAGGTTATCCTGGTCCTCATGTCCATTGGCATCTTTTATCCAATTTTGTTTTTGTTCATAATAAATCCTTTTGATCCTTTCAACACACTTTTACACATGTGTATCGCTTCTTTAGGAATCTGTCCAACCAACAAATAAATTAATTCATTTCAAGACAGATATTTCAGTACTGCAAAGAAGAAGTATATACACATACAAATATCTATAATATCTATATAAGAAGTCCATGGATTGATGTAGTTCCGAAATGATAATGGCAGAGCTCAAAGGAGGACAGCTTGACCACAAAGATTACTTTCAATACTTTCCTTTTCTCTTGTCTGCATTATTCTCATCCTCTTTATCTGTGTGCTCCTCTGGTCTCAAACACGACTTCTATCTCAGTTTATGTTTGAGGGGAGGCAGAGCAGTGTGCCATGTTGTTTTTTTAGCTACACTTGCAGGACTTCACGATCATATTGGACAGCTGCTCCACCTGAAAGTAAAAGTAATACAGTAACGTGATAAGGTTTTGCTTTCAAATCAAACTGTTCTGCAAACATTTCACCTCAGAATGGTTACTTGGCTGCAGTGTATATACCTTGTGTTGCCTGCCCACGTAGTAGAGGATTGGCAGTGGGTCCAGTGCCTGGGGAACACAGCAGGGCTGGGCAGAGGCTCCTGGGTTGTGATGCTTGTACAAGGCCAAAATCTGTAAACAATTAAACATGATGGAAATAAAAGAACACAAAGAACTGAGTTTTATGAACGATATGACGTGTACAAGAGCAACAGTAATACAAAATCCAGGTAATAGCTATGTTTGTTTATTTATATTTCCCCCTGTTTCCCCCCTGTTTGTCTGTTGATTGATTTTGCTTGCTTACACAAAAATCTACTGAACAGATGAGACATGTGTAATCAGGGCTATTTCATTTTGGTGCAGATTTCTTTCTCTTTTACTATTTTCACCAGGGAATAGTTCTTGGATCTTAGTTCGTTAGTTTACTAAGTGCTATTCCACTCTGAAGAGAATACTGTTCCAAGATTAATATAAATTCCAGTACACTTTTATGTTCAAATACAGATTACTGCCACAAGATTTTCAACAAAGTCTACACTTGTGGCTCTGAGGTCAGTTTTCAGTAGCTGCATGCTACCGCATTATACCTGAGAATATTTGTTTTCAGCATTCCAGATGTAGGTGCAGGATCCCATGCAGTAGTTAGCGTGGTAGCCTGTCGGCTTATGTATCCACTTCCAGCCCAGATCTTTCCTGAAGTCGATGTACAGGCTCCGCACGCAGCAGGTCTCTGTCTGGCTGCATGAGAGAAAAAAGGGAAAGTGATGTTGATAAGATGATGAGATGCTATAGATAGATTATCTTAGATTACAGTGTCTGAAGAGCTCCCATGCTGAAAATCAGTCAGCTCTAAAGCTGCAATAACAATAGTTTTAATGTAAGAATTCAAATTTGTCTTTGAGAAGTCTTCTCATCCTAAAAACAACCATGTTAAATGAAAAACAGAACGAGAACGAACTAGAGCCAGTGATCCAGTGCAGTTGTGGTTTAGAGGTTTCAAGGTTTGTGGTCTGAGCCCCAGCTCCTCTGTTCCACACATTTAAGCATCCTTGAACAAGAAGACACAAACCACTATTGCTCCTGATGGCCAGGCCGTCTGCCTGGTATGGCAGCTTTGCCTTGTTTCGGTTTGTGGGTAAATGAGAGGCACATGCAAATACTGTGCATTTACAATGCAGATATTAAAATGACCACATACTTATAAAGTGGATTAACTGGAGTGAGCTGCTATTTTGTTTGGTGGTCAATGAAAAAATATAATTTACAGTGTAGGATTGCTTACGCTGTACATGCATCCTTCGCGTCTGTGGAGCGTTTTTTGCGTGAGCTGAGGTGGGTGCTGGTGTTCTGAGGGATGGACATGGTGAGGATGTAGGGTGGTTGCTGCCCCAACTCTTGTATTGCTACCAAGTCTCCTCTGACTGGATTAATGCCAGAGATGACAAAACGGAAATTGCTGTCCGTGTTTGGCTCGTGTTCGCTGCATCCACAGAAGAGCCTGAGTTGGAAACAACGCTCGTCCTCTAGCGAGACAGAAATTTAAAACATAACCGGTTAGTCACTCATCAAGGAAGCAGATAGACAAAGGTCATAGCACTAGATCACTATGAGCTACACTTGTTTACTGGAACCCACCTGTTTCTTTGAGCCAGCTCTGCAGGGTCTCTGTGACATCGAATGACAACCACTTGTCTTTCGAATAGTTTGTTATAAAGCGGGAAGCAAGATAACGGGCTGACGTCCCCAGCCCGCGGTACAGCTCCACCCGCTGCTCATTGACTATCATGGGTTTCTGGATGAGCATCCGCAGCTCCGCACTAGTCAACAGGCGGTAATCCCCCACACTTTGTCGTATTTGAGAGATGTTGAAGTACATCAGGATCTTTTTGGAATCTCGATCAGTGTCATTTTTTTCTGTGATTTAAAAAAAGGGAGAATTACTTATTTGGAGCCTTGTTAAACAGAAATCTTCTATGAGGTCATCTGCTTGATATCACTAATCGATTTCTGATCCTTTGTGTATTTCACACCAGCTGTCCTATAATCTGGTTTCTCTTCTTTCCATAAAGAAGGTTAACAACTTTGAAGGGGAATTATATGTTCTTTTTTTAATAAATATACCCAAGTCTCCCCCCATGCCCCTGAGGTACTGAAACAATAAATGTGCACATAGCTTGACATCCATACAAAAAATACATATATTTCACAAACATTCAAGATTCAAGATTCATGTGCATAAAGAAGTAAACAGAAATAATAACGATAGCAGGTAAATTAAGAAATGAAAGGAAAATTACACATGGTTACATGGTTACAATGGAATTCTACCACGGCTTTAAAAAAAGATTTAGATGGTTGCCAAGCGCCAAGAGCTCATTTTTTCTTCATGGACATGAAACATAACCTCTGTTATCCATTAGTCACTTTGAGGGGAGATAATATTTCTATTTGGATCTTCTATATGGCACAGAGCAAAATTGAGATGATCATCCACTGAGGTCACATCAAACAGTGACATTAATAGAACAAGACCGAAACCAAAATGTGTAAAATTAGTATTTTAACTTTTCCTTTTCAAAGCCATATATAAACACTGCACAGCTTCATTATGTAAAATATAGCTATTAAATCAAGACTATGTGAGTAGAAAGTATCACTGTAAATCTATGCTCTCCCTCTATTCTCTGTTTTGTTCCATTTTGTGGTTATGGAGTGGTGGTGAAGCTCTGGTGTGTTTTTGATAATTGGCAAAACCTAATTACAGCAAAAAATGCAGTGAACTTTGTACAAAACATTAAAAACATTGTGCAATATCTCTAAGCAACAGAAAGTATGAATTATTTCATAATAGAACATGGATGGCAGTGGAACAGTTAATAGACATGAGTTAAAGAATCAACATACCACATTTTTACACTATAATGAAAAGTCCCTTTTAGTATTTACTTTTTTTATTATTTGATATTCGCATGCTTGGCACATACAACACAGTAATTTACTACGCAATGTAGTAGTGGGAAGTTTATTACTCAAGTTAACTTCATGAAGTTCTTGGGAAAAAAGGGTTTTCATAACTGTACACACATTCATAAAATGGAATGGCCAAGTTTACACCATTACCCAATATTCATAAGTGCAGCCAAACACTCATCTACTCCAGCAGCTGTAAATTGACCATAGAGAGCATTTTGTTTTCTTACAGGATTGCTGCCCATTTGAGCAACTTCTATTCCTTGGCCTGCCCATAACATGACAGCAGGAACATTCCCCCCCCACACAGAGCCTGACAGAAAACAGAACCAAGCTACTGAAGGCTTTAATAACATAAATCTTTCAGAGTTACATTATCGAGGATTTAGTCAGATCAAGACGTGCAAAGATAAGTGCAGGAAGGCAGATGGTCGAGAGTGAAACGCTGTGTAGAAAGAGTATGACAGGAGGTGGTTAAGGGAGGGGGGTATAACAGGGTCAATGCAAAGAAAACAGCAGAGTGAAGAATGCACTCATATGAATTTAACTCACAGAGGTGAGGCGTAGACGGTGTGAGTGGGGGTGCAGAGAAATTGGAGAATTGAAGCCCAGGGCCGTGATCCAGGCTGGGAAAGTCTAATGTGCCTCAGCCTGCCAAAAGTGGGTATCTCATACTCTAAAGTCCGGGAAGTACTTGTTGACAGCAGCTACACAACGCAACCACACATACTTGTGCTGCATAGTCGAACCAGGCTGTACCAGGATCCTCCATGTCAAGGCTGCATGTGTATCGTTTACCAGTATCACCATCTGTGTTGCTGCTGAGGTTGAGTTTCACCCCTTGTACTGAAGCCAAAGTGAAACTGAAAAGATCTGGTGTGGAGTGCAAAGGGAAACGAGATGACATTTTATGGCCCCACCCAGAGCAGAGTTGTATGTTTGGTTGTGAGAGCATGAATGGAAACATGGATTGTCACCGCCGTGTACAGTACGTGTGGAGAGTGGTGACTTAGAGTGATGACGTACCAAGCAACACTGGGCATGGAAACTCATCGTCTTTAGCTAGTTTACGTAAACTGCGATAAATCTGTTATGGGTGAGAGGATTGTTTACCAAAGAGGAAATTAAGTCACTTCCTGGAGGAAGCATATTGGCTGTGGCAGCATATTTTTGGGTAAACTCTTTCCTCACTTCTACTTTCTAATTAACACAGCTCACATCACCTCTGGCAGATTATCACTGAACTGTAATAATGTAATGTAAAATTTCTTCTAAACGAATGAACCAATATAAGGCCTCGCTCTTTCAGATTTGGGTAAAGATAGCACCTGAGCCGGCGTACTAACATGGGTGTGGGGGGATTTGTGTGTTGAATCAGGGCCTATCCGCAGGACAGCTGTTGTAACAGGTAGGGAGACAGCCCTGTAATTACCAGTGGGTAGAACCAGATTCCAGCAACAGGCTAAATACCTGCCTCCTTCATATGCTCAGCTCCACCTTCCCATATCCCACTGGTCGATGTCTTGTTTCCCCACCTCACCCTGTGTTACACATGGAGTCTCTGACTCGCGTTGCTTCGCTTCTCCATCCAAAGGTGGTAGCAACTTTATTTTCTATGTTCCTAAGTTGTGGTGTTCATCTCACTACTGTGGCCGATGTCCAAACGTGGAAAGAGTTCATTGGACGAGCACCATATTAAATATAAGAGGTCAATTTGTGTGGGCTTCGAGGAAGGGTGTTACTGCAAATTCACTGAAGGAATTCGGCCTCATCCACCAGATAGTTACCACATTGGATATAAAATCTATTAAGCTCTAAACAATACAGACTATAACAATGCATCCCTGAAGGCTGTTGTGGGGAATCAGGAAAGTTAAGTCCGGGTGTGCAGTAAAAACAACCATAAAATGAAATAAATGACAGTTCATGAAGGTTTAAAATAAACCTGCTTTTTACTTCCCACAGGACAACAGAAGCCTGATTGCCTCCCACACACGCTCATAAAAAGGTATAGTTTTTATTTTATTTTTTAAATAATTGCATTTACACATGGCATTCACCCTCTCTCAATGTTGTGGAGGTTGGGTCTGTTTTAAGAAGCCTCACTGAGGGTTAAGAGTGAGGAGGGGTGTTCACTGGCATTCCACAGAGGTAGGAAACACATGCTCCCCATGGGCACTGCCTGCACCGGACCTGAGTCACTCAAGATCTCAGTGGCCATCAGCCTGCCTTCCTTCCTGCAAAGCTGCCCTGTCACAAACACGCTGCAAACACACTGATAATAGGCTCAGGAAACCCAGCAGAGAGCGGCAAGGGGGGAGGAGAGAGATAGAGACGGATAATCAAGGGCAAAGAGACATAAAAATAAAATAGAAAATGTTCAGGAAGAAAAGATATGATGGAGAACAGGTGACAGGATAAGCAAGGGAGAGCCCTATGCTCAAGTTTCAGGAAACCCCCAATCCTCAAGGGACGGAGAGAAAAAAAAACAGAAAATGAAAGAGAAGTAGACATGGTGAGGGTGAAGGAGTGCACTTCATGTCTTCTCTAATCTAATTTTTTCAGTTTTTCCTCCTGGTTTTCATCTGAGCACAACAAACTCATGCCCATCGTTATGAAAGTTTCTTTGTTCTCCCTTTGGGCTGCACACGGTCCATCCACTGTTTCTTTTGAAGTGGTGAATAAAAGAGGGATAGTGTGGATGCCTGCCTGATACAGAGAGGAGTATGGGCACGTAGAGAACAATGGAGCAAAGAAACAAAACCAAAAGAATATGTTTATCATAATGGCTTAAGAGTCATTGCATGATTACAGTCAAAAAACATTTGGCTGCACAAACAGCACACAAAGGCTCGCCAATCAAACAGCGCTAATAAAGCAGTAAAAAATGCTGTGGATACCATGAAAGCAGCGCAAGAGCATCGGAACAGATGCAACTCACAGTCCTGCTAACTTGTAACGTCTGTGATCTCTGAACTCGTCAAGCTGCCTGAAGATGTTGGGTGGAGATCAGAAGGGGAACACGTGTTCAGGGAATTTATAGATGAATATTGGCAAAGACGCCAGCCATTGGCCAAATTATGTTTAATTTAGGCTGTAACTACATCATCCATCGATCCCAGCGATTTAAATGCCAAGATGTGGCAAGCTGACAAAAGTAGACACAGGTTAATTTATCTTTTACCAGAAACAATTCTTGATGTAAGATCAGAAGAATGACCACTTTCAAGAATACAAGCAATGTTTGCCAGATACAATTTTGGATAATTTTGAGCCTAGACCTTAAGAAGTGACATTTTGGTTGGTCCTAACTCTCTGACCTACTTTCAATGGACTGCTTCCAAGGTTAGGCTGAGGTTAGAGTAAGGGTTGGGCATCTAGTTATGATGGTTAAGGTTAGGGGCTATGGAATGCATTACTCTCACTATTACAAGGTTGTGTGTGTGTGTAGGAGCATAAATCACAGACAAACCATTACTTGACAGTCTTAGTGGGGTAGTTAAGCCTCCATGACAACGGGTGTCCATGTGTGCAAAACAACTTATGTTTGAGTAATCTGGTACTCACTGTTCTCAACCCTGAACTTGTGCAGCACCTTGGCAAAGTACTCCTCCTCCTCCTGCTCTGTGGAGATGTCTGTCTTGATGTCAGTCTGCTGCTCCTTCAGCATCTCCTTGGTGTTGTTGTAGAGCGACAGCAGAGTGCTGGGGATATCCTCGTCATCTCCAGCTTGATCAGGCTCAGGCTCTTTTGGCAAACGCAATTTGCTGAGGATCTGGCTCCTAATAGCCTCAATGCGCTTTTTCTTCACCATCTCCAGATCCACTGTCTTACACGTAGACATGCCACTTACATTGCCCACTGTGTATACGACCATGAGCATCAACAGTGCCAGCTTCATGGTACCAACCTGACTGTAACAGCTTCTGTGCTTCGGTTTTTTGGTAAATCCTCCCTCACCTTCTCTTTCACTGCCTGCCTCCAATGCTCAGGGAATAGTGAATCAGCGGAGAGGTGTGACTGACGCAAGTATTTATCCACAGGAGAACAATTAAAGCAGTGTTGAGAGTCCTAGAAGTTCGGGACTACCAGTGCCCCTGCTGCCGCCACTGCTATGAAAACCACCCAACACTTGTGGCTTGTTTGCATAGAAGCAGGTGGGGAGAATCCCTGTGGGCAGACAGACATCGAGCGATGAGCCAGCCTCTGACTCAGCCTCGCAGGTAACTCAGTGACGTTGAAGTGAGTCCAGAGTGCAGCTGTCAAATGCTAACAGAGTCCATCAAGCATGCACACAGACAGAGCTCCCAAGCCTCAGAAGACTTCTGAAGCACCCATCAATCTACAGATACTCGGAACACAACAGAGCTGCTTCTGAACCGACAAACCAACTTGTGACTGATATGTTCACTATAAAATTGAAGTAAGTTTACCTCCACGTGTCAGCTCAGTGCTGTATTGCTCAACAGTCAGTCTGTGGGAAGGGAGTTGTACAACGCAGCACCCAACTTACATACATTTGACACTAGGGCTTTCAGCTGACACGGCTTCCTGTCCTCTTCCTGTCCTCTCCCACGAGGTCTCTTCAACCAGTCAGGATTATTCTGTACATGGATGTAATGTCTAACCCCTTTGAGAAAGAGAAAATAGCAATGACCTGTCCTATGCTTAAACTGTAGAAATGACCTTCCTGTTTCTCTGTTGTTGAAGTTTGATGAGATGACTTCTGGCTTCCTTTACAACCCTCTTAAAACTCTCTGACAATTTGAGTCAGTCCAGTGCTGATCAAGTATCCACAGTGAAGAGAATGAAAGTATAAAACAGTATTCAAAAGTTTTACCTCCACGAAATTAGTCAGACACCTATGCAGTCAAGAAATGCCCCTACATTAAAAAACATCTGACAAACTTGTACCACTCTGACTACCTCTTTTTCAGCAGCGACAGCATGTGATCTGTGTACAGCTGCACTTCACCAGAAGTTTCTTTCAACGCCTCACAGAGAGAACAGCTGTTATTCTATTTGTGTCTTCATTCTCAAATATAAAATGATATGTTAGTGTACTCTCTCAGATGAAAACACAGCAAAACTCTCCTTGTAAATGAAAATCTGTCCTCCTGTGACAAAGTATTAAGCTTGACAAACCTTCTGTTTAAATGACCGTATACCATCCAGTCACAGCAGCAGCAACGGCAGCAGAAGCAAGAGTAACAGTCCCTCTCAGGCTGCTTTGGGAATCAGATTGCAGTCTCGTCTGTGTCCTGTCTCCCCTTCTATCCATCCATCGGTATCACCTCGTTTATGCCCTCTACAGCTCCTTCACACCCTCCCTCTTGAGTCTTTTCTGACACAACTCCCTATTCACACCTCTCTTTAACTCCCTGCCTCTCTCCTTGTGCGCTCCCTCTTTTCTAGTGCTTGTCAGAGCTTGCTGGTGACAAAGTGATTTGTGGGAGCTCGTCGCTCAGCTAACTTTTCTCCTGCACTCACTCGCTCTGCCTCTGCCTCTCACTCTCCCTCTAACTCTTCTTTTTTTGGTTCCTGTTACTCGTCTAATAGAGCGAGGAGCTCTCCGCCCAGGAAATGAGGGTAACGGCCACAGTGTAAAACATCTGCTGTTGAACAGAGCTCTGCTGCCTGCCGCTCATCCACACCAGGAAGCCAGCAGCTGAACGCGCTGAGTTAGTAGCAGTCAGGGTCACCAGCTCTCTCTCACACACTCTCTGGCCTGTCTGAGGTTGTGGCAATGATGACTGACAATGTCAACAAGCCTCGCATGGCATCTAGTGTCTCGCCAGCTGGCCGCCACGTTTACCTGGTGGCTGCGAAGGTGAGGGCCTGCCAGGCCAATGAGCTGAGGCACTTGGCACGAGTTGGTCTGAAAGTAGCCTGGTGGATTTCAAGGGATGGAGAGCCAACAGGACTGTGTGGTCCCCAAGGTCTGCGTACTTTTTAGAGGCGGGATTGTGTATTTTCACAAGGAAGCCAGACTAAAACAAAACCTTTGGTGGTTTCAATCATCTTGTCTCCGTCTGAGGGATGATTCAACAGGGAAATAAAGACAGTAAATGGCCATTGTAGTCTCAGTTTTTAGGTTTTGGCCATGTTCCCAATTGGTGTCTATTGTTAAGTTGTAGAGACGGAGCTATTCATTAAACACTGTTAATAAGACATTCCACATAAGGAAACTGTATGCAGAAATCCCCTAAAAACCAGCTACGCAAACAACAGAAAACAATGACAAAATCAAACACAGGTGCTGTAGTTTATCCCACAATCACATCCGCATTTTCTCAGTGATTTACCATCAATGATAAGATGTTGAGAATAAAGTAAATGTAGCTATCAAATGTCAATGATCTGAACTGTAACTTGTTGTGTGTGTCTGTGGAAATGTGAGTGTGCACTGTCACCTTCTGGTCAAAGATGGTACGACATTTACATGTGCTCTGATGGTTTTCTTCTTAGTGATGAGAAAAACGTTTGGGGTTGTCATCAAAACATTATTTGCACTTACAGATTTTTTATTTTTTTAATAGTAATTATGTAGTACAAAATAACATTATAACTGCAGCATAGATGAGGTAGAGAACACAAAAGACAATAATTTAGAGAGCACTTACCTTAGCCAAAGCCCAGCAGTTCCCTTTTGAAACCACATCTAAATTCACCAAAGCGCACAAACTCATTAACATAAATTTCCTAAACACCCCTCATACTATTTCAAGATCCATTAATTATTCTATGAGAAAGCTGTTCTTTCCTGACCCATACCTCATCTCTCCACCAAGTTTTGTAGAAGTCCGTCCAGTAATTTTTGCATAATCCTGCTTAATAACAGGCAAATACAGATGAATACACAACCTCCTTGGTAGAGGTAAGCAGTGAATGATAACACATGTTTAATTGCACTGTAACAACATTTCCCAAGTATATATTCTGAAATATTTCCTCTGCTCTCCATTGGTGGTTTGACACTGGCCTCTAAACACAACAACCCTGGTGCCTGACTGACTCCACACAACCAACACGTCTTACCAGACTGCCATGGGACATTTCATACCCTTTGCCACAAGGTCTCCATGCCAGCACCTCAAGGTGTCTGTGTGTCTCTGAGCACAAGAGTGCAACATGGCCTGTGTTCCCATCATTCACTGTGAAGTCCTAGATGAATCTGCAGTGGATCCCAGAGAGCTGAGTGGCAAACAACAGTCTTTGAGCCAGATGAGCCGAAGGAGGACGCTGGGAGAGAGATATTCACGGTCAACTGAGAGAGCAGAGAGTTTCTAACTCATGTTACCACATCAGAGCTGGTCCTGCAGACACTTCATATCTGTGGCAGAGTGACATGATGCTGCAGCGTCTCTCAACTGGTGAAAATATTACTCTAGAATTATAGCTAGTATAATGAAAACCTAAACTAGAGCATTTATAGTAATATGGGGCGCATACTTATAAGCTCTTATAAGCTCTCACTTTTTACTTAAGTAGAAATACACCAATGCAAAGATGATCCGTGACAAGTCCTGCATTTAAAAGCTTACAGAGGTGTTATCAGCAAAATACATTTGAAATTCACAGAAGTATTAATTATGCAGCTGAGTGAATGTTGTCTCTCTTTCTATTTGTATCAGGGTTGATTTTAAGATAATGTTGATCACCTTTATGGCCTTTCATGGCCTGGCACCTGATTATACTGCTACTATATTTTGAAAAGTTGTATTATTATTATTATTATATGTTATTATGTCTTTAGGTATTACTTATATTTATTTTTGTCATTGATTATAATTGGCATTTTATTCCATCTGTCTTTGGTTTTGTATTAATTGATTTCACATGATATCATATAACTCTGGTTACCCTTTGACTTTTGCATTCAAGTTAACTATTATTACTACTATAATTATTAGCAGTAGTGGAAGTAAACATGTAAGAAGCTGTTTTTATTGGAGATGGGTATTTGGTAAAGTTAATCATCAGGCACGTGCACAGACATTTTTGGGGGCAGGTGCTCAAGCCAAGGGCACCCATTACCAAGATTGTTCATAAAATTAAGAAAAAACACAGTAGGATACATTTAACTTATATATTTATTTTTGTTAACACAATCAACACAGTCTAATCAAAAAGGGGAAACTCAAATTATCAAATTGAATACTTATAAATGATTTTAATGATTTGAAAAAATATCTTCTTGACTAAAGGTGACTTTTCCCAAACAGTGATCCAGGTGACAAGAAAACTGAACATTAACACTCAGACAAAGTTATTTCAGTCCACTGCTTCCTGACTGATCAGGATGTTTTTTTATTTAAGTATATTTACATCAACTTTCTCAGAGAGTCAAGTGATGTTCTCTTTAGAGGAGCATCTTCTTCAGGACTCCGTGGATCGCTGAGAGGAAGATGTTGTTTCCCTGCTGGCTGAAGTGCACTCTGTCAGGTAGATAGACTCAGGAGTGGATGTTTGACAACTTCACCTCCAAACTGTTGAACAGCCTTCATCATGAGTTCGTTGACTGTCCTCTGTCACCATTGATGACCCTTGGTTCACGCTTGCCGCTCATTGATGCAGGAGAGTAGGATCCTCATGGAGGGGAATTCTTTGTGGAGCTGCATCAAGCCCCTTGTCATCTCAACTGCAAGGTTCTTGGCTGGCATGAGTCCCAGATCGTTCCCACCAGCGTGAACGACCAAAATGTCTGGGGCACTCTGCGTGGACAGTTTGCTGTAAAAGCGAGGAAGGACTCCACTCCACCGCAGGCCTCCTTTGCCACACCACTCCACTTTCGCATTGAGGCCAAAGTTCAGGCCAAAGCAGTCAAAGGCAGCTTTCTCCCCACAGTGGATGTAGCTCAATTATCCAGATGTGTTTGGGTGAGACTTTTCGTTCCATCACAGAGGGCAGGTCCCAGACAATCCTGTTGATCCTGACCCTAGGTTTAGGATCCACTGTTGGTGTAGGATCCACTTCTGGGGTATGAGGAGCATCAGTGATCATCATGTCTTCCCCAGTGGTTATCCTCTTCGATAATAAATTCCTTTCACAGCTCTTGAGGATTTTCAATGTCGTCAGTGAACTCACTGAAGGACCTTTTAATGCCTCCCGAGTGCAGCCTCTGGATGGGCTGATGACGTCGCCCTTTCTCCTCTTCGCAGAGCCGGAGCCTCTTCCTCTCCCTTGAGAAGCTTCCTGATTTTCTCTTGCGGATTCCCGACTGCAAAACCTCAGGGAAGGGTCTCGATCTTGATTCGCACTGCATGGTCAATTTCCTCTCAGTCAGAGAACCAAAGCTACGCAGATCAGGCATTTCTCCAAACCTTCTGAAAGCACAATGAGAGCTCGTGAATACACATATTACTCTAACCTGCAGCAGAAGAGTGATGAACAAATGAGAAAATGTTTTAGTGTTCAATATATGGATTTGTGTTAAACCTGCATTGTGTTCATAATAAACTAGTGTGCATTTCCTGCTGAACTCCAGCCTATATGAAGACTTGAACATTACAACTTGGGCTTTTGTTGGGATCTGTTGTGCAACATACAATCCCAATCAGAATGGGTTTTATTGCCAAGCAGGTTTACACATACAAGGAATTTGCTGTGGTGCATTTGTGCATGTTTAATTAAAAAAAAACAGGAATCAAAAGTGAAATATAAAAGTGATATAAGCAGCAGGGAGGGATTGTGCAATAAGTTGTAAGTAAACACTGGAGACTGGATGGACATTAATGATGAAGTTTACCTCAAACCACAATACTTGAGTTTATATATGGACCTTACTGAGTTCAGGCTAAATTAAACAGACATCAATGTACCTGAGTGAGTTTGCTACACAGCTTATCCGTCATTTATATGTAGGAATGATCTGAAATACATCTGAATTACGTTTCTACTGTGATTTAAGACGAGTCAGCTTGATTAGTTAGCAGGGGAGCTAACGGAACTCCTGTCTCCGTGGATACAACGCACGCTTCTTCCCGTTACGCAGCCCTCTTTGTGAATTGCGGTGTATCCGCGTCTGCTTCTTTCGTGCGCCGTTTCCATGGAGGCGAGTGAAACATCGCGAAGGGCGACGAGTTACTTCCGTGTTCGCAGACGATCGTGGAACTGGACCAGAGATGAACAATCGACAGGACCGAGCCGAGGAGAAATAACCGAGAAGACCGAGGAGATCACAGCCGTCAGAGAGGGGAGACAACCGGGGGAGGAACAGAGCGAACAGCGGGGAGCGGAGGTAGAGACTTTAAAACTTACTGGAACAAATAACCTTCAAGAAATAAAACTGACTGGAACAAATAACCTTCACTGCAACAAATACTCTTTCTGGTGCCGACACTTTAAAAGTTCAGGGATTAAGAGAAGCTGCTTCATGCAGCTCTGCAGTGTTTCGATGAGGAGCCTCTGCTCAGGTGAGAGACTGTGGTGCTCCAGGTTATCACCGCAGACTGGACATTAAGTAAATTAGGTTATTTCACACTTTATATGACACTGTGGGCTTTAGGATAAAAAGCAAAGATACTCATCAAATATACAATAGGATAGAAGTTAAAATAATATGTCAAATGAGAGGACGTGTATATGTTTTGTAGTAAAGATGGAGAACAATAAA